ATGACTTGCTATTTTCCCTCTTAAGCATAAGATTACTGTTTCTACTTTATCCAAATCATTTGTAATGTTGTAATGTCTGAAGTGTATTGCCAGATTTGTTTTAAACACTTCTAGATCTTCCCCTTTCTGTCCTGAAAACTTTGGCAGTTTTAGGTTGATTTTTCTTGTTCCCTCCATATTACTCTTTTTCTAGTTACTAGATTCTGAATTTGGTGTATAAGAGTCTGATGAACTTGACTCTGAACTGGTACTACTTTGATAGGTCTGATACAACCAATTATAATCCAATGTTGATGTGCCTTCTACTATAAAGGTATCTAGTGAAGAGTTCTGATTTTGGTTACTATCAGATCTTCTTGATTTTATTTAATTTGTTGGATTACATAATCACTTTCTTTATGTAGTTAGTTCTTTCCTATTTGGAATGGAAGGGGGAGTTTTGACCAGAGCCTACAACAACACTAGAGGGAACAAGCCTACCAAAACCTTGCCTCTCATTTTGGAGCCTACTGTAAGGGGTGGTGCCTCTGTTCTAAGGTGTCTGGGTTGATTTTGTCTTGATCTTGGCCTCAAGGGCCTTGCCTAGCTTATTTTGAATTGAACTGACTGTTTTGACACACAAGAAGCATGATGACATGGCTGCTGAGAAGAGGATCAAGAGAAGCACTGTACTTTGACAGTAGCAAGCTTGAGGAACTTCCACAGTTCTTTGAAGACATTGAGATGTTAGCTGCCAACTTCCAGAAGGACACTGAGTGGATGTGCAAGCAAGTGACATACTATGCAGTAACAAGCTGTAGCAGTTTGTGGGCTACTGTGCCTGAGTTGAAGAAGAAAGGAGTGTGCAATTGGAGTATTGTGAAAGAGGAGATCAGAAAGCTCTATCCAGAGCTGATCAATGGTCAACACTACACAAGAGCCAATATTACACAACTAGTCAATGTGTAGAGTGAGAAGGAAATGATGGTGCAGACAGAGTTTGGCTGCTACTACTGTGAGTTCCAGGTGTAAGCAGAGTACTTGAAGGAGCAAGGGAAGATGTTAGCACATGAGTTAGACTGTGAGTTCTAGAGAGGGATCAGAGGGATGCTGAGGACAAACCTGATACAACAACTGGAGATTCTCTATGTGGACAAGGATGCAAGCAAGCTGTTCAAATTCGCCAATGTAGTCAGGCTAGCAGACCACATTCTTCTAGCAGGGCAGACAGAGGCAGGCCAAGACCAGACAGTGACGTTGCCAAAGGAGAAGCCAGAGAAAGAAGCAGGAGACAAGTATGTGAAGATTGTGAGGAAGCTCAATGAGTTACAAGCCCAGGTCAACAAAGCAAGCAAGTCCAGGAAGATGCTGATGAATCAAGCACACAAAACCAACCAATCTGCCAATTCTGTGAAATCCGACCTGAAGCACAAGAGGACCTACAACTTTTGTGGAAAGTAAGAACATTTTGTATGTGACTGTAAGACTGTGAGCAAGTACACTCAGAGGGGGAAGTGTATAAGGTTGGGGCAGAAGATTGTGTTAATGAGTGGGGCATTTGTGCTAGCTAGTGTAGAGGGAGCAATGTTGAAGGAGTGTATAGACTGATACTACAAAGACAAGCCTGTGTTCACAGTAGGCACAATCAATGAAGCAAAAGATAGGTCAAATGCAAGTGAGGGAGAAAAGTATGAAACTGTTCTTAGAGCAGATTTGGATGCAGAGGTGATAAGGTTGGAGGAATGCTTGAGGGATGTGAAGAGACAAAGAGAGGAGGCAAGGACCATGAAGGCTAACACAAAGCCAGTCAAAGTCAGACCAAAGCAAAGTGCTGAGTTGAGCAAGATCATCAAGCAGGTCTTAGACCAGATGATGGACAGTGTTGTCACATTGACACACTGCAAGTTGTTTGCAATAGCTCCAGAGCTCGAGTGCTAGTATGCAGCTAAGCTTATGAGGACAACTCAGATGTGTGACAAAATGCTGAACAAGGCCAGAAGTGTACTAGTGAGGACAAGGGAGAATAGTGTAATGGATGAGTAGCAGAGACTGTTGTAAAGGGCAGTAGCAAGCCAGATGAACAAGGTCAGAAGTGTATCTGTAAGGATCAAGTGCTGAGACAATGAGAATCAGTCAAGCCTAGCAAGAATACTAAGTATGAGTGAATTATACAGGAGGATGTTAGAAGCTGTTGGTTCAGAGCAGTGTTGAGCAAGGGAGTGTTGGATAGGCACCCCAGTCAGCAACAACAAGGCTGGAAGTGTACCAGTCAGGCTAGCAACAGTAAAGCTGAACAACAAATTAGAGACTGAGAGCTTACTGGACCAGGGAGCTGTTATGAATGTGATGTGCAAAGATGTTTGGAAATGCTTGAGAGTACTAAAGGAGCAAGTGCAGACAAACCTCAGGCCAGCAAATGCAGGATCAATTACAATTGAAGGTGTCATTCTGAGACTCAAGGTGTCAGTAGGTGGAATATCAATAGTGATGCCAGTTCATGTAGTGAAGGACACAATGTTCAACATAATAATCAGGAGGCTGTTCTTTGTGTTAACTGAGTGCAAGACAAAGGATTTCAAGGATGGTAATCAGATTTTGACCTTGACAGACCCAGCAGATCAGAACTGGAAGTGTCAGGTTGAGACCTGAGCAGCTGTTGGATGAAACCCACTACTCACTACTACTACCATCTATGTTAGAGTTGGAGAGGATTGGTCTGGCAAGCCTTTAGCCTTGGTACAGGTTACATTCTCTTTACTCTAACATCCCCTTATACCCCTTTCTTTTATGGACACTCATTCTTACTTGAGACTCACACTCTTTGTTTCTTTATCTTACTTTGATTGATACCTTTTATCCTTACCCACACTCCTTATGCTTACCCTTTATTATTGCTTCTCAAAGCAAGTGACTGAGGACAGTCACTATTTAAAGCTTGGGGAGGTGAAGAGTTCTGATTTTGGTTACTATCAGATCTTCTTGATTTTATTTAATTTGTTGGATTACATAATCACTTTCTTTATATAGTTAGTTCTTTCCTATTTGGAATGGAAGGGGGAGTTTTGACCAGAGCCCACAATGATACTAGAGGGAACAAGCCTACCAAAACCTTGCCTCTTACTAGTAACATAGACTGTTCAATTTCTTCAGCTGTCTGACCTTCCTGAGTAATAATTTCTGACTGACCTTGGAGGCTTCTAGGGGATCCTGGTGGACTATCTAGATGTTGTTCAATTCTACTATAGT